GTGACACGTTCTGCCGTTTGAGTCTCTGATTTTTACGAAAATCCAGAAACAGAACAAGCCTGCAATCTTTCCGAAACCCCATTCGACTGCTTGGCTAACGGAATTCATTCTCTTATTGAAAGCCCGCTGCTGCACAGTCACGTTCTCGCCACAAGGTTTCAACAGCAGATGTCGCAGTTTGTAGGCAGAGTCACCATACAAACAAAAGCTGTGGCCTTTGGCAAGCTTCTCTAGCTTGCGATAGGTGTTGCTCTTTCAGAGGATACGTGGAAATACAAGAGCACATGAAAACATTTTGCCACACGATATGTGACACTGAATGCTTCATAAAGTTCTTGCCTCTTCCCAATACATTTACACAAATGTTAAGACGACTGTGTAGTGTGCACTTTTTGGATACACTCTCTCCAAGTAAAAAAAAATGTTTTGATGCCTATTCAAGTACGAAGGTTTCTTCACAGTGCTATGCAGTAAAACACATTTATACTGCATTTATCAATAGAACCTGCATGGCATTATCTGTGACATGAGATATAACTGAAGATTTGTGGCAGAGTAACAAAAAAAAAAACTTGGCCACAGCATTATAATGGTAACTGGGGCATGCATTTATCATTTTAGCTTGCACCTTATTCTCGAAATAAACAGTTCACAATTTTTTCAGGTTCTCTTTGCACCACCGTTCAATTTGAATAATATGCTGCTTTTTGCTGTAACCTATAATTAATTGTCCCAGATTGAGTGTACTTCACAACATTATTACGAAGTGATAGCTTGTTTGCTCAAGTAGCACAGAGCATTTCCTCAGATAGGTGCGATGGTGCTTTTTTTTTTAAGTTGGACAAGTAGTACGGGGCTCAGCATAACATAAATAACTTGCCTGCGTCATGCCGGCTGCCGACATACCATTCACTTGGCTAATGATTCCATCAGGACCAATGATGGACTGAAATTTAAGGGCGTAAAAGTGCTTATGCCCTGAAAATAACCGTCTCTGGTCCTTCGATGAATGGCAAATGACTCGCACTGTCCCGTAGATGAAGCCCCAACAGTTGTGCAACGCGCCCCTTTGGAATGCACAGCCTGCGATAAAATGTTATATTAGATTAGAATTAACAAAACAAATTAACAAACTTCATACCTCAGAAAGGAGTTGGAGTTTAGCTATGTCCAGCCAGATGTGGTTATTCACATCTTGCAGCAGATGTCTAAACGTGCTATCAATATGCACGAGCACTGCGTTAGTGGCTGAAGAAATCACTGAATAATGCCGCCCGAACAGCGGCTCCAACTTTTCGCAGCCTGTTGGGATAAGACAGCCGCCATAGCGTAAGGCAGAGTGCCTCAACACCTGAAACGTGCATGACCTGTGGCGCTTGTCACATTTTCTGGCACTTGTAGTGCACGGCACAGGCTTTGGACATCACCTCTATCAAACCTAAAATACGTGCGAAATTGTCCTCTGTCCATGTTGTCAATGTTCAAGAGGCCATGTCGTGACAGTGGGTCTCGCCGAGTATATTGCAAAACTTCAAGGCGCAACAAGTCTTCGATTTCGGACCACTTAAGAAACCCATCAAAAATGGGTCCTCAAGCACACTTGTCGGAGCCATAAATGGTTACGCAAACACAGTTTCAACGGTGAAAAACAAAAACGCCGCCACCACACACGCCAAAAGCGCAAACAACTACACAGTGAATGCTTGCAATGGATCTGGAACGGAAACTTGCTGGCTTTTGAGTAGCTATTATCAAAGTCAGAGCTTGCTTCTTTGTCGAAAAAGTAGACGGTTAATACATTAAAAGTGGATTTCTAAATACGTAATGAAAAAAATAATTTATACGTTCTTATTTAGCTTTGTACTATATGTGAAAAAAATGTTTTTTATTTTGTTTAACGGCTGTGATGGTTACCGACGTTCGTCACTATGTTTGTTAATAGCGGACGAGAAAGGATTGACATCAACATGTGATGCGACCAAAAGAAGCTTTATATTGCACACTAGAGAAGGAAGTGACACTTTCTTGTTGATGAGCTGCGCGAACCAATGGCTCTGCGCCTCCTGCGCGAGGAACACGCCCCCAAGCCGCTGCAGCAGCCCGATGAAGGCCAGCGTCGGGTGCGGCAGGTGCGGCGGAAACACCTACTTGTACAGGCACACCTTGTTCTTCTTGGTTTTGTGCGCTTCCTGGTCCAGGAATGGGAACGTCGCAGTTTGGGTCCCCGTCGTCCCGACATGATGCGGTCGTCGACGTGCGCGAGGGCAAAGGTGGCACGGCTGGAACGGCTGACCACACACGGATACGCTACCATGTGCAGCGCCGTTGAGTCGGACGTCGCGGCCAACCCAGCAGTCAGGGTCACAACTCCGGAGGTCCAGGATCAGGCCACGGCTCACGAGGACCACACCCGGTAGGCCTCGTCTACGAACCTGCTCCCGGCCACTGCACCCAGGCAGGAGCCGTTCGGCAGGTCTCGGCCTTGGACCTTGAACAGACACACCGGAGCTCGACCTGGCCGACACGTACGGGTCTCACGTCCGGCTCAGGAACGCTGCCAGGAACTCGTCCTCTCGAGCGGCGCACCGCTTCCTCTGCCTTAGTGGCCTCCACCCTTGAGCTCTTTTTCGCACGTTTCTCGGTACGGCTAGGCACCGCTAGCGATCCTCGATTCAGCCAGCAACTCCCCTGGCACCTGGATCCTCGGCCACCCTTGACCTTGCACGGCTCCGTGGTCCGTGCACACACCCGTGTCTCACCCGGCAGAACGTCTCGCTTGTCCCTCGCCTACGGTGCGACGCTCTGGTGACATCGGCGCTTGATGGCATGGGTTCGACTACTGAGCAGTCAACCCGCATCGGAGACGCGATGCTCCATGCGGGGAATGGCCAGCCCGTCCAGCGAAGAGCGTGCGCCGAGACGCGATGCTCGACGCAACCGTGACCATTAGCCAGGCCACGTTCGTCGCTGTGTGGAACGGCTGACCGTGGAGACGCCTCGCCGAGATCCGCGATGCCCTCGGCAAGGAAGAGAACAGCAGGCCAGGCCGCGCCCCGAGATGCAGTACTCATGCCGGCAATGTCGCCCCAGCTGGTAGTTGGACGACAGTAGCGTGGACAGCCGCGTTCACTGGCCGGAACCTGGATCGCCTGCGTCCGACGCTTCGGCCCGCTGTCTCCCGTCTGCCGCTGCTCCGGCTCGTCCCCAGCCACACAGCCCACTGCCACGTAATGGTCTCACGTGGCCCAATCGTGGCACGCCCCCTCTATGGGCCACCACAGGTCATCAGCTGATTCGCTGACACTCACGCGCACATTACACGCGCTTTGCCCCGCACTTCCGTCGTCGTTTTCTTCACTCATCACAACGGCAATGAAAATGACCAGAGGGCGCTGCAACTGCGAATGGTACGCAGCGCTGCCGGCAACGGATAATTAGAAGAGAAAAATCATCGGCCACTCTGTTGCATCTTTGCGGGTACTTCCAGAGCGGGGTGGACCCTAAAAACGTCAAACTAAAAACCTCTAACGTCCAGCACCGACACGCGAAGACGAAAACGATGACTGCGTCACTGCTACTACTCACAGCGCCAAAGCCGCAGCGTGGCCAGCACATGAAAAGAAAGGAGGAGCGTCTCTGCGCACAGAGAAGCAGATCAGCATTTGAGATAAACCAACACGCCACGGCAGCTTTTTTTTTGCGTTCTTCGCATGTGTCCTTGAAAGAAGGGTTACGTAGCAGGGACGAGAAAGGGGGAGGCGTGGCACCGGCACGTGGGAGAGAACCACTCTTTGCGACAGCTTTTTTTCTCTCTCTCTCTTTGAGCATGGCATTGAAAGGAGAAGGTTCTTTACATGGAAGGGGTGAAAAAGGTGGGGCTGAGTGCGGTCGCTCCCGGGCCACGCTCGTCAGGAGTACGGCTGTTCCACGGCAATGCGTTCGCTTCGGCGTCAGTGACGGACTTTTACCCTGATCTCCTGTCGGATTCACCTGCCATGGATTGCCCCGGAACCCCCTGCACTTCACACTGCTGGTTGGTGAGTTAATTCTCTTTCCCTTAGCGTGTTTTACGCGGCCGACCGGCATGTGTCGTGGTGTAGGGGCGCGGCTCCCAGCACGTAGCATAGACGCGCTTTCGCCGCCCCAGTGCGCGCGGCGCACGGGCGCTTGAGTTTCTCTCACGAACAGCTAGTCCCTATCATTTGTAACCACGCTATTAGGGAACCACTCCTGTCGAGTAGTGCAGCGTCTGCGTATTTTCCTTTCTGAACAATACCACGAACACTTACAGTGACTCTTCCAGTCTTTCCTAGTGCACCCAGTTGTTTTTTTTCTTTACTTACAGTAACTGCAAAGTGTTTTGCTTTTGCTTGAGCGGTGTTGTGCATCACTGTGAACACTGTGCGCGAGTGTGACGATGCACTCGCCAAGGCGCAACTCCGTCCCCGACGCCAGCTCGCCCATCACGCATCCCCTTCAGCAGAGAGCGCTCCAGTTCCTGAGCCAACTTCTGAGGAGCCCACCAGGCGCCCCTTCCGTCACCGACGATCAGAGAGCCTCCCGACCAACAAGGTCCAGGCACACCGCTATCTGTTCTTCGACAAGATTGCGACCGACAACATCCAAGCCATCGTGGAAAAGTGGCTGCAAGCCAATCCTGTCGCGCCCACACTGGTCCCCATGCCGGCCTCCCAGTGCTCCAGCGGGGCCTCGAGCACTGAAGCCACCTCCCAGCTGCCTCTGACAGACGACCATGCGGCGTCTGAACGGGCCAGCACCCTGGAGGAGCACAGTGCTATTGCACTGCCCCTGACCGACGACGAGGCGGAGCAGATGGACTCGTCGGCCACCAGGAAACGCGCTCGGGAGCAGCTTGGCAGTGATGACGAGGAGGACGGCCCGCGTAAGCAGCCAGTCACCTATCCTGCTGTACCCGAGCTTTCCAACATGGGTGGCGACCCCTCCCTGCGCCTCGAGCAGACTGAGACTGGGGGGGCTGATCCGGTGGACCTCGGAGAGGGTGCGAAGGGCCAGAAGGCCAAAGGGACGCACAAACCAGTGGCCCAACGGCCTCCTCTTCACGCTGCTGCAATTGATGCCATTTTAGGTAAACATATGTTTCTGCTAGTGAATATCGATTATCCAACTTGCTACGTGCTTTAAGGTATAATTTATGCTTGATTGAAGTAATGGCATTTAAACTACATAACCAAGAATTTTTCGTTGTAGGGGCATTTGACCATATGCACATATTCAAAGTATAGTGCCAGAACTAATCATTATTTGTTTTTATTCAGGCCTTGTATTCATTATTAGAGGCTATTGCAATAAATTTAATAGAGCTTATTGACGGGGCTTATCTAATGAGTTTGTGTACACATCATGGTACATGTTAATCTGATTTTCTATTTACAGCGTACACGAAAAGCACGGCCACAGGGAAAGGGTGGGAGTGCTCAGAAAAACTCCTGGTGCCCTCAATGGGCACCAAGCTTGCTGAGCTGAGAGCAGAAGAAAAAAAAAATGTGGTCCTCCAATAAAACTAGTCGTTTTTACAGCATTATATGTTTGTGAGTTTTGTAAGTATAGAAAGAGGAACGTGCCTGTGCATGCGTGGTGCTGCCATATGTACATCACCATGCATCCCTCGTGATCAATGCACACATAAGCCATTCAACTTAGCTTTATTGTGCTAATTATTAAATCCTGTCTGCTGCTGTCTCCGCAGTGCTTGCCACTGTTCAAATGCTGTGAGTGTTGTGTAACATCTTACACTCACTTGATACTTTAGCGAATTCACCTGCTGTACAGGCAGATGTGTGTGTGTTTGTATATATATACATATTATACAGCTGGCTCGATCATACCTGCAGCAATATGATTTGTGTGTGCACGTACGTCACACAATTTTACTGTTGTGTTCACCAGCTTTCTAGAGCTTCAAATCTCGAGTGGATACTCTGGACATACATCGACCTTTGTTATATACACCAAATAACAGACTAATTAAACGTGATCCTTCATCAATCTTCATATAAACCGTCGACACCAAAGTTTATAAGGTGAGCGAATGGATATATAGGCTGCATTCACTGGGAACCATTGGGGGCACCATCAATTATCAGGCAGTAATATTATAGCTGTGAAATCATCCGTGAAACTGTTTAATTGTGCCATCCACAAGCTGAATTCATATATGTATGGAAATCGTCTATATATGGCTATATATATAAGTAATTATATGAAGCCATATATAAGTATATAAGGCCATATATGACTTTATAAAGCTTGATATACATCCTATCCATATATGGGGACATCAGGATGGGCATATCTGGCCATATATGATGAGCATTCATATATGACTTGATATGCACAATTCCTGATGTGGCCATATACAAATATTGAGCAATTACTTCATTATGATTTAAAATAGCCTCGTTTGACATGCAGCATTACTCTAACACAGTGGTAATTTCATTACAGAGAAAAGGAAGCGGCCTCAACCAACACCTCGGGCTCTTCCCACCACTGGATGTGTAGAAGTTGTTAATGTTGGATGAGAAGTGGATCTGGCGCCGACATGGCTACCGGAAACTTACGTCGAGTATTTCTTCAGGTTAGTTACTTTCACCTCCCTGTATACGGTAGGCCACTTAAGAAATCGGCGCCAGGATCCCACTGCTGTTCTTTGTTCGGTGCTTTGCTACCTATCAGCCTTGCACGCTGATGCTGTCACGTGTGGTCATATGATGAAAATGATTTTGCTGTTATCTGGGGATATAGAGCAAAACCCAGGCCCTCTAACACCGCAACAGGAAAAGCAGATGCTCGACACCATCATGACACTACCTTCAATGCAGATCTCTCAGTCTGCCATTCTTGATGAACTTAGCTCTATCCGAGCTAACCACGAAGCGTTTCAACAAAAAATAACACAAGAAATACATTCAGTGCGAAACGAGCAACATGTGCTTGAGCAGCAAGTGGCAGATGTAAACTGATAGATTAACGGGTGTAGAAAATAACACCCCCCTAGGTAACACGGGCAAAAAAGAACTTGAGCAACTTGCAGCTCAATGTGGAGTGCTTGCGCGTGCGTGTCAGGCTATGAAAGATTGTCAGGACGACCTCGAAAGTACGAATCGTCGAAATAACCTGGTATTTTATGGTTTCCCAGATAATGAGAATGAAACGTGGGCACAATCAGAGGAAAAAGTAATTTCTTTTTGTTCTAGTGACTTACAGCTCAAAATTTGCCCCTGACGCAATTGAACGAAGTCACAGATTAGGCCGATATTCGGCGGCGAAGAAAAGGAACCGTCATAGTGAAGTTTCTATCTTTTAAAAAAAAAGAACTGTGTGGTTAAGTCTTCTGGCAAGCTAAAGGGAACCAACTTTGGAATCAGTGAACACTATTCACACAAAGTCAGGCTAGAGAGGCTTAAAATTGATACAATATGCTAAAGGAAAGGGTGGTGATTTTAAGGTTCGTTTCAATAAATTATTCATGAATGACCAAATGTTCCTGTATAACAGTGCTGAAGATAGAGTTGTGCCTAGTCGTAGATAGCAATCACCTCGAAATGCCATTTTACTGACAAAAGAATTGAGAAAAAATGAACTAACGTGCATCATAGTTAACTGTCACAGTTTGAAAAACAAAAGAACAGAATTTCTTTCCTTATTAGACATCACTAAACCACACATAGTTTTTGGCACAGAATCCTGGCTCGATACCACCATCGCAGATCATGAATTCTTTCCGTCGACTTATGCAGTATACCGAAGGGACCGCACGGCGCACGGAGGTGGTGTATTCCTAATGATCCATAACAGTACCAGTAGTGTTCCTATTCATGGTGTTAGTGACTTGTGTGAATCTGTGTGGTGTAAAGTTATGCTAAGTGGTGGCTCAAGCTGTGGCTGTTGGTTCCTTCTACAGGCCCCCTAGTAATACAACACCCAAACCTTTATTTACTTTAAGCAATATTGTGTCAACCCTAAATACAACATACATAATGATTGCCGGTGATTTTAACCTACCTGATGTTGCGTGGTCCTCATTCAACCCGATAATTCACAGTGAGTCACTGCTACATAGAGCTATTCAAGAAATCGTGAATGCCCATCAGTTATACCAGCTTGTGACAGCCCCCACGAGGATGTGCAGTACTAGTGCAAACGTATTAGACCTGTTTTTTTGCAATGATCAAATGCTTGATTCCTCTGTTGTTACAGTACCAGGTATTAGTGATCACGAAGTTGTCCTTGTTAAAATGTGCTTAGCTGTAGCTCAACAACGAGCCTCTGGGGCCCAGAAAGGTGTTTTTATATGAAAAAGGAGACTACGCTTCTATTTCAACAAAACTAGACACTTATTTACCTGAGTTTCAAGAACTATGCTCGTGTTCTGACGTGAATGACTTGTGGAATGAGCTGAAAACAAAGCTGTTATCTCTAACTCAAACTTTTGTATCATCGCGAGTCATATCAGCCAAACAACGAAATGATAAACCATGGCTAAATAAGGAACTCCGAGTGCTCATAAACAAAAGAGATCGTCTCTATCGCAAATATTGTCACACAGTCAGACCTTGAAACATACAAACAGATGAAACTACTTGGTAAGAAGATAACCAAAGATCTGAGGAAAGCAGAGAGAGCATACTTGAGTGATATGAGTGTTAAAGTGAAAACTAACCCGAAACTCATATGGAAATACGTTAAAAGAAAGACAAAGATTCCTGGTGGTATTCCTGAAATAAACGATGGTGCTAAATACTTGTCGGACAGTACAGGTAAAGCTGAATGCTTTAACCGGTACTTTCAGTCTGTGTTTTTGGTTCCGTCAGTGGTTCAAACTACAATGTGCAACACAGTAATGTTATCGGAAATGGCGGAGTTTGAAATTTCAGAACGAGGTGTTGCATCTCTTTTAAAAAACCTTAGTGCAAACTAGGCATCAGGGCCACATCAAATCTCAAACTTCATTTTAAAGAACTGTGCCCTTTCAATAAGCCCATTTCTTACAGCTGTGTTCAGAATTCTTTATCGCAGGATGCATTACATGATGACTGGAAACGAGCAAATGTAATTCCTATTTTCAAGAGTGGTGACAAGTCAAGTACTTGCAACTATCGGCCCATTTCGTTAACGTGTGTGTCCTGTAAGACACTTGAGCATATTATATACTCGAACTTGGCAAAGCATCTTCAGACTAACAATTTTTTCTGTCCAACACAGCACGGTTCCCGAAAAGGGTTTTCCTGCGATACACAACTCGTAGAATTTGCACATGACATCTCCGCAACGTTAAATTCCGGTAGCCAAATTGATTGCATTTTTTAGAGTTTAGCAAGGCTTTTGACACTGTTACACACTCGCTCCTTTTACTGAAATTATCGTGTCTCAATATATCTGCTAACAGAATGGCATGGCTACAAGCTTATCTCTCATGCAGGAAACAATGCATCATTATCGATAGCGCGTCGTCGTCACATGTCGACGTCATTTCAGGAGTGCCACAAGGCTCCGTCCTGGGGCCGCTTCTCTTTTTGATTCATATCAATGATCTTGCTGAATGCGTGGACAGTCAAGTGAGGTTGCACACAGATGACTGCTGCATATATCGTGAAATTAAGTGCACTCAAGATTCCGAACAATTGCAGAAAGAACAATTGCATGGTGCAGTACGTAAAAAATGCAGCTTAACGTGTCAAAGTGCTGTGTCATTAGGTTTACCAAGAAAAAGCAGCCTTTTATCACAAATTACTTCATGGAAAGGATACCATTATCCATGGTAAATGAATACAAGTATCTTGGCGTTGTCATCAACAGCACACTATCGTGGAATGATCATGTTCGCATGGTATCAATTAAAGCCAGTCGCCCGCTGAACTTCCTACGCCGCCATTTCAGAACCGCCTTCTCTGTTCTTGAACAAGTTCTTTACGTGTCAAACGTACGCCCAATTTTAGAATATGCTTGCACTGCCTGGGACCCAGCCGCAAAGTTAAACATTGGTGCATTGGAGCGCATTCAGAAACAGGCCCCCCGGTTTGTGACGGGTGATTACGACTTCACCAGAAGGTCCAGCGAAAATGTTTGTTCACTTGGTTGGCCGTTACTCTCCTCTAGGCATAAATATATCAGGCTATGTCTTTTCTACAACCTAATAAACGACAATACTGGGATCGATAAAGGCAAATACATCAGACCACCAACATACATCTCATCACGACGAGACCATCCTTTGAAAGTGTATGAATATATGTGCTGAACATCAACGTATGCAAATACTTTTTTTCCTAAAACTATTCACGAATGGAACGGTCTTCCAAAAAAACATCGTGACTGCCCCTTCCACAGCATTTCCTTCCCTTTTAAAGGAGTATGTGGTCACATAAGGATATTGTATGCTGTGATTTAGGTGTTTTTGATTTGTTTTCATTTTTTGAGTGCC